ATATTCTTGTCCACACGAATATGTGCTCTCAGTCGCGGTAACAGAGATATCATTTCTTGATCTCTCGTCACCGGGTTTTTCATCTGGTCGCTATTCAGTTGCAGGAAGTTTCTCCCCGTGTAAGTCATTAGATCCGAGCACCTGATTATGATGATTATGGAAATGCTCGGGAAGGTTGCCGGTCGGAAACCTTTTCGAACGGTTCCACAATAGGTGACCGATAGTTATCGATCTTTCGCGAGCGTCTTTCTCAAAAATACAGTGTTCAGACGAGAATCCTCGCGGAGTCTTTCCGGAGTCGCGAAGATTGCGGGGGAGGAGGGAGGGGGATAAAATCGAGTGCTCGGTCATCCGGTGGCGCGGATCACGGAGCGGATTGCGAGAATTGGCGAAGAGCGACGACGAATCGCGCTTGGATTCCCGGCCGATGGTGGTCAGGAATCCCTCGCGCGAGATCGATGGTCGTTTTCGCGAGGTCGCGGGTTTATCGTGCCTCCAGGAATGCGCCGTGTGCACGTCTAATGGAAGTACGGTGGTCGCTTTCGAATCCTTCGGAATTCCGTGTCGCCGCCGGCCGTATCCCTTCGACCATAAGTCACGACGAACGGTAACGAGCATTCGGAATTACTCCATTATGTAATCACAGCGCCGCGCGGAGCAATAACACCGTCGATGAACTTGGCGGCGACGTTGATTAATGAATCGCCGCCTATCGGGTCCCGCTTAATTGGATCACTCGCTCGAATTCCCCCCTCGCTCGTCAAGTTTCTATCGTTGTCGAAGACGATGTTCAAATTTACGAAATAGCGGCGAGTATTATCATATTTCGTAACGGTCTTCTGTGCAGTAACGAGATAACGCAAGAAAGAGACAGAGCACGCTATTAGGATTTATTTAAAATTCAAACGTGCGGATTTTTTGTTGGCCTGACGCGTTGTTACATAATATAGCGATTTTAACAAGACGGAACGAACGGGGACGGTAATGATAACTCGATAGCTCGAGCAGTGCGCGCGCGTTGAAAGTAGTCTCGATAGCTTGCCTGACCTTTCTGGCGTCTGGAATCCGACGTAAGAGAACTAATACCTGTCTCCCGGTATGTTTATCAACAATTTACCTCCTACCCGCGGACGTGTAAACTTATACGACGTCGAATGGTACTGCCGTTACGCCCGATATGCGCGGAATTTGAAAGTGAGAGAGAAATGAGCGATTATATAGTTGAGCAAAAAATCCTTTTTTCTCCTTTTTAAGTTCACCGAGGGCGAGAACCGCGAGCATTGAAATTCGCGTTCGCACCGTACCGTTGGTATGCACGCAAAATTCCAGACTTCGACCGTAAAAGCCATCGAGTCTAACGTCTGACTTCACGGATCGGTGACGCAGTGACCCAAGTCGAAATCTTGGCCCTATATTAAATCTTGAATTCTGCAACATAGTAGGAGCTAAGATAGCAAAATAGGTTCAATTTCAATTCTAATAATATAATATAATCTCTATTTATATCATTTTGACTGTACATATCTTAAATTCTCATTTTCGCTATTTCAGCATCAAAATCGATTCAGGAAGGTAGTACCGAAATTCAATCTGTAGAATTAAACGTTCATTCAAGAGAAAAGTTATCGCCAGAGTAGGTTTTTATTAATCTAGCAAAATCTCAACTCGGGAAGACGGAGCGACGACGAGAGGAATTCTCAAGCTGCGTTTTGCAAGAAGAACATACATCGGTCGGTATTTCCTTCCATCATTGTGCGAGGCGCAGCGCACGCTACGATCATTCCCACACATGAAACTTCTCCCCCGAGGAGCTTCGCCTCGTAGAGCGGCACCTGCGATATTCACGATATTTTTTTCTCAAGCGACTTCGCCGATTGTCGATTGACGGAAGGCGGGGGTCGGTCGTGGGCCTTGAAGACCGCGTAACCCGAGTCGACCGCCGTCTCGGGCCCCTATAGGTCTCGCCAAGGATCTCTCGCTGGGTCCGAGTCGGCTGGCTGGGGAGGAGGGGGGGAACGAGAAGGGAGACCGCGAGAGAGTACAGGCTCCTAGAGCGGTCCGGCAACTCCACAGAAAACACAGGCGTGCGGTCGTGCGCGCGCACACAACGTACGTGTGTGTCGCGTGTGTTCCTCGCGCTTGGTAGTACGCACGCTACCGCACGCACACCAGCTTCCGGCTCGCCGAGTTACCACATCGGCGCGGAGACGCGCGCGTCCACCGCGCGAAAAAAGGTCCATTGAGAGTTACGGTATTATTCCGCGGGGTATGTGGAAGCGCACCGGGGGAGCCATTAGAACCGTCTAACGTCGCTGTCCGAGACGTGCAACGCGAGAGAGCCCGAGTGTAAATTCCACCGTAAAACTCTCGATTCTCCGCACTCGGCTTTCAGCTTTCAACTCCTGTTTCTTAACTCTCATTCGCGATTCTCAACACTCGGCTCACCCCGGGGCTCATCCCGGATTTCTCTCTCTCTCTCTCTCTCTCGGCCCCTCTCGATATCCGACTCTCCGTCTCTTGATTCTCTCTGTTCCTAGCTTCTCAACCGCTAACTTTGAACCCTCGAGAGCTTGGAGCCTCGAGTTTCAAGCGCGTCGAGCGTCTGCGAAGCCTCGAGTCTCGCGTCTTTAGATCCCGACCACCTCGAGTCTCAGTTTCCAACCATATTTGTGGAATTAAAAATTTGAAAGTCGAGAATTCCGAAGAATTTCGATTAGAGCGCGAATGATCTTTAGATTTTAGAAGTGACAAATCACCGTCTATTCGCGAGTCAACTTTATCATCTTCATTTTGTCAAGCGGCAAATTTTACGCCGAACAACTGAACGTTATTGCTCATTCATCCGGTGATTCTCTTCAACGGAAGATTCTCGCGAACTATGTCCTTCACTCGACAAAAACGATCAATAGTTCGTTAACTGAGCGTGTAAATCGCTTATAGTTGCGCAGGTGTTCGGCTTCGTTACACGACGATGCTCTCTCTCTCTCTCTCTCTCTCTCTCTTTCTCCCTCCCTCTTTCTTCTTTTTTCTTTCTCTCTTTTTCTCCCTTCTTCCTCCGCTTCTCTCTTTCTTTCTCTTTCACACTCGCTCACTCCGTCTCTTTCTCTTCCGGAGGATCTGTAATTCTCGATTACATCATTCATTGTTCCTTGCGGAACGCTCACCGGAGGCTGATACCGGCGCGGGTACCGTTCGTGGAAGGATCGAAGTCCGCTCCAATTTCACGTACACCAAGCCGAGATCCGCGCCCGTTATAATCGCCGCCGCGAGAACTCGTTCGAGGCAAGGAAAAGGGGGGAAAACTCGCGGACCGGTATATTTTTTCCAGATTCCACCGTCCGGTTCATCGCGGCGCGCCGCCGTTCTGAACGAGGTATACCGTCTGGCCGGGACGAGAGGTATCCTTCCTTTTTTCAGGAATACCGTATATTTTCCGTGTGCTTTTCCAACTTATCTACCGATCAATTTTATCTCGACGTCGCGTTAATTGAAATGATAAACATCGACAAATCCCGATTGATTTTATATCGGGAGGACCAAAAATATAACCGGGATGTTCTTTTTTTGGAGATTACAGAGTCATATCAGGATACGCATCGATACACAGGATAGACAGGATATCGTATGCGTGGAATATCGAGAAAAAAAAAACGTACGATATGCGAGATACCCTGTCCGCCAAGTGTTAAGCGTCACGTCGATTTGCACGCGAGACAAGCGAGACGTTTACCGAATCGGCCGCTCAATTAGATACAGAAAATTGTTAAACATCACGTGGACCACGTGAAACATCACGGTAAATTATCGTGTCGATCATTCCGTTAAAATCGCCGTAACGTTTGTCACGGAAAATCACCGTGGAAAATCATTTCACGCTACGGCCGATCATATACCGTCGTGCAATCCTCCCGCGAGCCTCGCGAAAATTGTTATCGCTTGATTCGAGCTGCGATTGTATTTTTAATTAAGCCGGAAATATTCACAATATACGATCTCTTCGACCTTTATATAACAAATGGCAAGCTTTATAAGAAATTTCGCGCGAAATAATATACACATACACGCCGAATAACTAACGATGAATACGCACCAAATTCATTTTGTTTCCCTCGAACTCTCACTTACATCTAATTGATCAGCCGAAATTCCGCGGATTTAAATCGCCCTCGGGAGAATCCGATCAGACGCACGCCGACAGCAATGCATGCGTGCATCGAGGCTCGCATTCTCCGCACGGTAAGATTGTTCAATTTATTGCAACAATGAGAGCCGACGTTTGTCCACAATAATAATCATTGTCGCAGAGTGTGATTGCGATCTAACCCAGATAGGACAGGAAATCACGGTGACATCAAAATGATGAGAAAATGACCACGGTCGGTCAGATTTCACGATTTTTCGATCACGATTCGATCACTTTGTCGTTATTTTCACGTCATGTTGACGTTTCGTGATTTCCTGTGCTATCTGGGTAAACAACTCTCTCTCTCTTTTCACATCGGCTACTCTACGCAGGTCTCTCTTCGTATGTCAAAAACATGCTCCCTCGTTCGGCTCGCTTTTCCTGCTTTGGAGCACACAGGACAGAATCACGTGACATTTCGTTGAACCGGTTCCTAATTAATTGGACTTCGATCGGCCGTGCGACGAGAAGAGAGATCCATCGCGATTTTTCTCGCCAGGTGGAAGAGCGACGCGCGACGACGTACCTACGCTGACGCGCGCGCGCGCGCTCGGCGATGCCTCTTACCCACCGCGGCTCTCTCGCCGACTGGAACTCGTTCCGGTCTCGCTCGTTCGCCGATTTCGCAATTTCGAATTTCGCGGAGCGAGCGAACAGCTGCCCGCGCGGACGAGCGAGCGAGTGTTCGCGCGCTGCCGGCGGCTTGACCCGCTGAACAACCGATCGATCGGCCAAGCGGTCGCGGCGGTACAACCGATAACCGCTCCGTTATCGTCGTCATCGGCGAAGGCGTGCGGTAAGCAGGACATATACGTACCTTGCTACCTGGTCTGTTCGGAAGTGCGTCCGCCGGGTTATCCGAAAATCGGAGGCGGCGACTCTCTTCGTCGCGCGGTATCGCAGGACCACCGTGGCACCACCGTATCACGTAGAGAAATCCACCAGAGAAGAAACGAAGCACCCACTGCGAACGCCCGTTCCCGAAATTCCTTTCCCTCTCTCTCTCTCCCCGCCTCTCCGTCTCGCTCGTTTATTACACACTCGCGCACTAGTGCAAAGTTGCTTCTCTCTCTCTCTCTGTTCTTTCTCTCCTTTTTGTTTTTTTTTTTTTATACTTGTGTATATTCGAATTGTGTTCGAAAACGACGCACGTCAACGGTGCGCGCGCGCGTGCACGCCTCGCTCTGCGTGCGCTGTGTGTGCGGAGGGCGAGCGAGAGAGAGAAGAAAAAAGAGAAACGTTCTCTCTCTCTCGCGTGAACCGGCGTGAAACAAACTAAGATCTGCGCCAATGCCTCAGCGGCGACGGACTCGCTCTCGCGGGAGCCGCTGTGCTCTTCGTACGCTCCTCGGGCACCGCGCGCGCAGTTCCGTTCCTTCCCTTCACCGGTCTCGCCCTCTCGTCGACGCGCTCCCCTCTCCGGCGTGCCTCGCGCGTCGAACGCGCAGCCCCTACTCCGACCGGCAAACGAGTTTCCCACTCCTCCGCCCAGCGAACGAGTTCTCCCCTTCCACCTTCGCGCGCTCACCGAGTCCCCCGCCCCCTCCCCTCGCTCCACGTGGCAAACGGCGTTTTGTCGTATTTCGCTGCGATGATTCCGCAGGACCCTCGAATCCTTCCTGGCCTTTTGCCGCCTTTCTCGGCCTTTAGTTCGCTCTTATGTTTGCCGTGCGTCGCGTGTGTGCACGAGAGAATTCGAATTTTGCGGCACGATGATATCCGGATTCTTCATTTCCGAACGAGAGTTAATGTTAATTCGGATTCGAAAAAAAGAAGAGACATAATAAGTAGGATACATTAGAACTATATGATCGACATATCTTATTTCGCTTACGTTGAAGCCTGTCCCGAGAGTATCCTTAGTATTTTCAATGGTATATGATTCAACGTCGAGTTACGAGGACTTTCATTTCTCAATAATAGGTAGGTAGTAGTCAGGGACAGCAGTTAAATGGACAGCGAATTTTTACGAATACAAGAATACCAAAGGAGGACAAAAAGAACACAGTGGTGCAACAATCGACAGGACGTTTGCGCGCTACGGAGGAAATAGAATTTACCACCTGACACATATTTCATCATTTACACTATGTACCAAAATTAGAGCACAATTTTTCTTGATCGCAACAAATAGGCGAGATTCAACGGACTGTAATTTTCACAAAAGTAACAGCAAAGAAATGATCCAAGAAGCAATTTGCAGGTTAAAGTTTCCGGTATCCGAATATATTATCGAATAAAAGGCGTACTTATCGATTGCAGTGTGATTTTTTTTCGACGAATTATTCAGCGATAAAACAGAAATGCTCTTTTAAACGTTCTTAAACGTTTTTAAACAGTTTTAAACGTTCACAGATAGTGAACGAATCGGTATACGACGTTCGTTATGAAATGAATAGGATGTTTAAAGTTTCTTCATTAAGATGCTTCTTTTGCGTTTTTAATACAAAACTTTTTTGATATAAAAAATCAACTGAAACACTAGATTTGAAATCAAACGGTTGATACTTTTCTTTTAACTTGATATATCTTGGCAAAAAATAATGACAAAATTGCGACGTCAATACGATGAAAAAACTAGAGGCTTCAGGTCGCAAAATGTTTATTGAACTATTTCAATAGCACCTTTTTCGTGAAAGTTAAAGCCTTTTTAATTTTGTCTATTTTTTAGGCTAGAGTAAAAGATCCGTATGATCCATTTATTGATTCGTATTATGTTGTCTTGATTCTTCTTGAGGACAGTGGCGGCTCTTAACGGAGACTTCGGAAGTAATAAAAATAACGGGTCGAAAGTATATTACGATCATTAGACCCATTATTTTTACGGGCTTTTTTATGGATCATCTGGCGCCATCTAGCGGTGTCAAGTGGAAGTTTGATAAAAAAAAGTTGGAGTCCTGGTTAAGAAAAAGGTTCAAATCTCGGCTAAGCCTTTCATTACACCCTTAGACCCTTTATATCAGTCTCGAAAAGTCCGCTACGTATTTACGGGTTTACGGAATTATTAGATCTGTAATTTAGTTCCAAAATCTCCGCTACGAGTCGCCACTACACATAACGAAAACTGAACTTCCAAAAGTCACATGTACCACATGCAACGATACGAGACGAGTGCGAAGTTGAGTGATACATAAACGGTTATTTGTAAAACGTTAAATATTTGAAGTGAAATATGGCTAATATCTTTGATAGTATAATTTCTACTCTCGACAATGTTGGATCCCTGCAAAGTTTACAAACGTGAGTAATATAATTACAATATTATTTTATGTAACCTATAAAGTGCTAAAGTAAGAATGACTCCTAGGACAGGTCTCCGGACAATAAATAATTGGAATTCGTTTAACATGGAGAATTGGTTTATCGCGTACGTTAGTGTTCGGCGGTTAATCCGGCGCGTGCGTTATTACACATTGTTTAAACATATCCTCCCACGGTTTAAATTATTTGCACTGATAACTGCACTAATACCCGCGATTAGTTTTATCTAGCCCGTTCTCTCTTTAGTTTGTATAATTTATATAACTGATATATGTATAAGTTTGATAATTAATCGAATCAAAATTGAGTAAGCAGGATAAATATTTATGTAATTTACAATTCTCCGCAAAAATTTATGTGTTTGCGAATATATTTCTTTTACAATTTTAGCAAACAAAATGTACTGGATCTAAGGGATATTACAAAAAGTCTTTATGATTTCACAAAGAAGCAATCTTGCAGAAAATCAAAAGCATTGCCTGAATTGATTCTGGGAAAGTTTACTGAAGAACCAATTTGGCAGCAACTGGAGTTGCAAAATGAAAGCGAATTGACACATTTTTCAGAAGAGATCCCAAAAGTTTTGGCTGACAAGAATAGACTAGCAATTCCAGTGACTTCTACAAAACCTGAACTAATTCAATTTGAGAGCAAAGTCTTGTCTGATGATAAAGAAGAAGAAGATGAAAATACAAAGACAAAAAGTATTTTAAAGAAAAAAAAACCTGATACAAAAAAGAAAAAGTCTTCTATTGTGGATGACAAATTCTTCAAGTTGCAAGAATTAAATGAATACCTTATTAAAGAAGAGAGAAAGGAAAAGCATGGAAGGAAGGACGATGAATCTGAAGATGAATTAGTCGACATGTTTCACGATTTTTCCGAAGAGGGAGATGTGAAATATGTGGACTTCTTTGACAGTCCTGCTTTAAGCGAACAGTCTGAGGAAGAAGGCTCTGACGGTGAAGATGGAGGAATGGACGATGGTGAAGACGAGGAAGAAGAGTATGAATCATCAAGCAAAAAAGTAAAATTTAATCTTACCAATGATTCGGATGAGACGGACAGTTTGGAAAATAAAGTTGGACAAAAGGAAGGGAAAGAAGAAGACAAAAATATGGGACCGAAGTCTTCCTTGGAGACTCGCCAGGAGAGATTGCGCACGAAAATTCAGGAATTGGAGGAAGAAACGATCAGCGAGAAGCCATGGCAGCTGAAGGGTGAAGTAAGCGGTCTTCATCGTCCGCAGAATTCCTTGTTGGAGGAGTTTGTGGAGTTCGATGTAACTACGAGGCCTGCTCCTATAATCACCGAGGAGACTACCATGAAGCTGGAGGACATAATAAAGCAGCGAATCAAGGACAAGGCCTGGGATGACGTCCAGAAGAAATTCAAGCCGGTTGAGACTCCGTTGGAGTACAAGAAGAAGGTGGTAATGAATCAGGAAAAGAGCAAGGAGAGCCTGTCGCAAATCTATGAGAACGAGTATCTGAAGCAGAAACAAGCGTTAAATCCGGACGAGGAGAAGGAGGAGGTGGTGCCGCAGTTACATCATGAGATTCAAAGAGAAATGCGCAAGCTAATGTTAAATTTGGACGCGTTGTCCAATTATCATTATACTCCTAGGCAGGTGAGATATACAGTATTCGAAAAAATTAATATTTACGTATCGATTCGTGATGATTTTCAACGTTTGCCAAATATCCGTGATTCCTGTTTCAGATTAAACCTGAGATCAAGATTATTAGCAATCTACCAGCTGTTAATATGGAGGAAGTGGCGCCTGTCGCGACCAGTGATGCTGCTATGTTAGCACCTGAGGAAATCAAAGGTACACACATTGTATCATATATCTATCTAGTATGTCGTATTCGATTGCTCGTTGAGGGATTTGTGATGTGATATTCTTCAACATAATCTTCGTCTCTAGCTAAACTGCGTGGCGATCCGGTCGGTAAATCGGAGAGGACTAAGACCGACAAGAAGCGTGAGAGAAGGCGGAAGAAATTGCGGCAACGAGCCAAGCAGAGGGCGATGGAGGAGAAAGAGAAATTAAGAGCGTTGAAACCGGGAATCGCCAAGAAGTACAAGAAGGAAAATGCCGCGTTGTTGAAGCAGCTGACTAAAGACAGGAACATCACCAAGTCGGACGAGACGAACCAGACAGTCGCCAAGTCCTCTACTGCGTTCTTCACGCAGTTGCAAAACCAAGTTAAGACGAAAATCGGCCCCACGCCCAAGAAGAAAGACAAGAAGACACTGTCGGCTGTGAAACTCAAGTTGTAACGTAACTCTTGTAAATAGTTTTGTAAATAGTTACAATACAAACATTCTTATGTAACGTTTTTACGAGGATTTTAGGGAGACCCCAAAAAACCGGATTTTTTGTATAAAAACTTTATTTATTAACTTTTTTACAAAATTCCTTCAGTCACCTTCAAAGTACTCTCCATTAGATGCGATGCACTTGTCAAGTCTTTTTTTCCCACTGTTTGAAGCATCTCTGGAACTCTTCAACTTTGATATCGTCCAGTGCCCATTGCGAAGCTGTTTTTACCGCCTCCATATCATCAAAACGCTTCTTTTTTCACCAAAGTCATTACAGGTGATGAGAGTTGGTATTACGGGTATGACCCAGAAACTAAGCAAGCGTCAAGCCAGTGGAAGACTCCCAACTCTCCCAGACCAAAAAAAGCACGACAAGTGAGGTCGAATGTGAAGACGATGATCATTGTCTTTTTTGATGTTCGTGGAATTGTGCATCGGGAATTTGTTCCCCCTGGCCAGACTGTTAATTAGCACTTTTATTTGAAAGTTTTAAGACGTCTGCGAGAGGATGTGCGGAGGGAGGAAACGCCCGGAAATTTGGCGATCAGGTGACTAGTTCCTTCATCACGACAACGCCCCCGCACACACGGCCTTACGAGTGACCCATTATTTGGCCTCTCGGGGATGGCCTGTCGTTCCCCACCCTCCGTATTCACCAGACCTAGCCCCGTGCGACTTTTTTCTGTTTCCGAGAATGAAGAAAAATCTAAAAGGGAAGCGTTTTGATGATGTGGAGGCGGTAAAAACAGCTTCGCAAAGGGCACTGAACGATATCAAAGTTGAAGAGTTCCAGAGATGCTTCAAACAGTGGGAAAAAAGACTTGACTTGCATCGCATCTAATGGAGAGTACTTTGAAGGTGACTGAAGGAATTTTGTAAAAAAGTTAATAAATAAAGTTTTTATACAAAAAATCCGGTTTTTTTTTCGGGTCCCCCCTCGTACATGAACATCTTGCAAACGTTATCTTCATCTCGTAATATTTTACCGAGTTCTTTTGATTTCACTATGCTCTTATTATTTTCAAGCGTTCTGCATATAAAAGACTTTTACTGTCTCGTGCTTCCCTATCACAGATTGTTTTGATCATGAAGGAACGTAAGAGGCGAAAATCGTCAAAGAAATCATAGCATAACTCAACACGTAACATGTATAAGATACATATTTACATACACTAAAAATATTTTCTTACAGCTTTATTGCGTGAGAGATATATGTATGCATTTATAGGGTAACACCCTGCACTCTTCAAATCATATTACCATCTTGCAATTCCCACTTCTTGCGGAGTTATAATACGTGGCTGGATATCATGCAAAGGAATATATAACAATGGATGAGGGATTTATGAAGTAATCTCTTTCTCTCTCTCTCTCTCTCTCTCCCTCTCTGACAGAGACAGATCCGTACTTAACATCCATGTACAGATATTGATGCCCGCGTACAGGCCCAATATGTGCTAGTTATTGTCAAAGTGATGGTACTACTTCCGTCACGATGTAGGATGAGTAAAAAAAAAAATGAATCGTGCGTTTTTTTATGTATGTATAGATCATATATTAGTGAAAAATGTTCCCAATTCATCATGATATGCTGCAATTTCGTTTCAGTGTGCTCGTCGAAATTTGCTAAAACACGTACAAACGCGCTAAGTCACACGTGGTTACTTATAAATGCAATTATTATTATGTGTAACATTATCTATATATTTTTTTTTTCTTTAAGAATATCTAAAAACGGTGTCTTGCACAGAGAAGCAAAGGTGGATTACATAAGTAAGTTTTTTTGTACATTGTCAATGTTTCGAACGATTTCTTGTCGCGTGTCGTTTTTATGATTGCACTGTTTATAATTACAAAGATCTAAATTAAAATAATTAAGCTAACCTTACGAATCTAACGATAAGCTGGTATTAAAATTACCGTGATTTATGTAGATTTGATTGAGAACCTTTTTTTTTTTAAAAATACTTTTTCTTATATCGTTTAGAGTACACCTCCGTATTTATTTTTAGCCTCCTTTTTCCTTTTTTCGTCGTTAAATATTCACTGAATCGCATGATACCACCATTGAAATTGTCATGTAAATTAAAAATTACGGTCGTTACGCGCGCGCGACTTGTATAATAAGCACAGATCGGATGCTACATATTTTCAGAACACCCGCAGCAAGGCCGTGAAATATCCATATCTTCCAGACGTTTACTCGCGTTTACTCGCGCTAAATTATTCGACTTAAGCGTTTGAGTGCCAAGGAGCGCGATCGCGTTCCTCCTGTCCCAGACGAGAAGATTTTGTAACAAGCGCCCACCATACAACCCTTCTCCCCGTTTTATAATTCAACATCCTTCACGCAATCGTCACTTAGCGTTTGAGAATCGTACAGTGTATCTTTTCGAACACACTAGCATCAGGCCTACGGTTCTATATTTCTACGCCTCTCCCGGCACTCAAACGATTAATAAACAACGCAATGCTCTCGAGCACTGCATACGTACGTATCTTACATCTTATTTCGTTCTATTTTCGCCGCCTCAAATGGATTCTCGACGAATTTGGAGTCGTGAATTCCACCGAGACGACACTTTCGCTAAAACCCGACTCCAAATTCATCCAAGTGTAACCGTTGAAATTTGATGAACAGACAACAAACGAAACGCAGCTGCTCGCACGTCACGTAGCACGATATCTTTTACCGGTTCCCGTGTTTTCACACAAAGTGTCACAGAATACAAATGTGTAACTTATACTCTCACAGAGTATACAAATGCTGAAATGCTCGCTGAAACGCCTTGCGCCGAACGCAACGTGGGATAATCCATCTGTGCGTATTATAATTATTTCGAGCTCTAATTCACGATGAACGCGCTCTTCTTGTCGATAAAGGTACAGTCGCACTTTGTTGTCTTAATGGCACTTCCACAGTGAAACCATACTCCGTCAATTTGGACAACTACGTCGTACAAACGGGGGGGACTTCGTATGATCCTGTTGATCATATACCGGCGGCCTGACACCCACGACAGTGTGTGTATGTGTGTGTATGTGAACCAAACCTTCTCTTTCGTACATATATATGCGCGTAATATGTAAATAACCCGGCAGACTAGGCTTTCCTAATCCCAGTGCGATCGTTTTTGCGTAGAGCCTATATATTAGCGGTGCTAAATCTCGCTAAAGAGGTCTTCTACTTTGGTGGGTCGACTTTTTCTTTTGTTTCACACTTTCGAGAGACACGTGTTCTGTGAATACGCGCTTCGAACTTCTCGCCGAGAATTTCGCAAAATTTACCATGAAGCCATGAAATTTCGAACGGGACGATTACAGAAACATCGGGAGAAATTTCCAACCGGGAAAATTAACGCAAAACTCACCGGTGTTGTATCGGCCTATCGGTAAAACTGAAGGTTTGCTTTCATGGCGTTTCGGTATGATCTATGGAAAAATGCGTGAATATTCAACATTTTTCGAGCCGCCAAAGTAAAAGAGACCTCCTCAAATCGTTTCCTCCTTTTTCTTTCATTCTCTCTCTCTCTCTCTCTCTCTCTCTCTCTTTCGTAATCGTAATCGATCCAGATGCTGTGATGAAAGTGCAGATGCCCAGGATTTAATCCCCAAGTGATAAACAGACCTATGCGAAATTAGCCCCGCACTTTTTGAATTTTGCGCTTTTATTGTGTTTCGTTACGTTTGTGCCGTATTAGTTCCCCCTCCCCCCCCCCAGCTCAGTAACAAATACATTCTGTTGCATTGTCTACTAATATACTTATATAGTGTTCTACTACATAAAAATCATTGAAGGTCTGATTCCTCAAATAATTTCGAGAGACACACGAGTATCAAAGTACTTAACATTTCCGAGTTATAAATGACTCGAGGAAAAGGACTTTCCGCGAACTAAATTCAGGAAGCCAAATGAATCACGAAATTACATTTTTTAGCTAGTTTCAATTTCTATACGTGCAATTGTTTCAAATATGATTTTAAATTTATTCACAAATGGAAATAATAAAGCTAAATGACGAGCATTCGCCATGTTTCAGTTCATTCACGAAAATGGCGGGTTAAGTTGAAACTCAAGAGTATCGAAGTCATCTCGAAATTACCGAAGTCATTGTTGTCCCTTTCTCCGCAACGCTGATTAGCTTTCCCGATGTGCACTGTGCAACGTATTTCTTTCTGCGAGCGATTGTCACCGCACGGAATATCAGTTTCGACAGTTTGAACGATAAGGAAAAATTAATATTTGTGTAGTAAATTTTATTCGATGTTAAATTGCTTTCAAGAAATGAAGGATAATATATAATACGTACATCTTACACTTGCACTGATGCAATGTATACTAAGTTGCGCGCTTGTAATGTCCAGATCGAGAAAAATTTTATTTCACTCGATTAAAACATGTTATTTAATGAAAAAAGGAACATTATTTACGTAAATAGTACGTTGTTTCTTTCAAACTCAATGCATGTAATGTCACGAGTGCTTGATTAAGAATCCAAAGACAATCATGTCGCTATTGGTTCGCTGACACACGTTGTGTCCATATCTGTCGCAACATGTCGACTGTTGTTGCCTACAAGTTCTTTCACGTAGCTAATAGGGCTCCCATGTTTCCGGACCTGATCTGATCATCCGGATATCCGAGATCGAAACTCAGATAACCTATATATACATAATTGTATATAACTGTATAATCTATATACACGTTCAGATCAGAATCGAGATCCGAAGTCGAAGTCGGACCCGAATTCAAAACTGATGATGAGATTCGGGTCCAGAACAGAGATGCGCTGAGATGGGATCCAAAACATCTATAGTTTCTTTTCCGCGATGTTGAGTGGTTATCTCAAAATTTCGATCTCAATGCATCTCGTTGCTTATTTCGCGGTTATCGCGAACGGCTATCACGGAGATTACGAACTTGACAGTTTGTGAATTAAGAGAATTCGTAAACTGACATCCTCTCACGTAAAATTGTTAAATATTCGAGAGGGATCCAAGTTACTGCGATCGTGTCTGTTTGGTCACCTCCGTTATCAATTTAAATCCGGATCCGAGTCCGGCTTCGGATTTGAAGCGTCACATTTATCCATTATCCGAATATAATCGGGTATAATAGTGTCAGATCCGAATATTGGAACCCTAATAAGTAATTTAGGAAACAGTTCACTACCGGCCTATACTAACTCGAGATAATTACCGCGATGGTTGACAATTTTCTGTCATAAAATTTTGATTGTCAAACGATTCTGAATTTCGATTGGATTTTTGCGACTTAGGAAAGACGTCGAATGACTGAATTGTGCATAATCGTATTTGCTTATTGTCGTTAGAACAACTTTGGGAGGCATTAGCGAGTAAAAACTCAAGTATCGGAGGAATCCTTCCCATTTTGCGTTCACAATTATTACAAACTTGTCACGAAAAAAGATGTCGACTCGCCATCTGTTCAATTCTTGTCAGAGACTAATGAAGGATAAATCAGTATCCTTAAAGTATAAGTTCCTAAAAGTGAAAGTAATTGTGAATGTGAAGAAGTACAGATCGGTCAGATGAATAAAGTATCATTACCCGGCAGCCCTGCGCAACATTCAAGGAAATCAAACAACTCGGCCATGCTCGCAGTAGTCGCAATATTAGTCATTTTCAACACGCTACTCTGGAATGCGCTTTAATTTACTGAACTGGGGTTTGCGCATTTTGAATAAAAATACGCCACACAGCTGCGGAAGTCCGGGGCGAATTTCAAGTGGTAACGAACAAGTAACGAACGGTCGGGGGGGAAAGCGGCGAATTCCCTTAGAATGGGAACTGCTTTCCGGCGTGTCGCTTGTTTCATTGCTACTCAAAGGTCGTTGTGAACATGTTGAGTTCCTCGAACCCGGACGAGCCACCTTGATCCTGCAGCATCTGCAGCATATCCGACAATTCTTGCGGCTGCGTGCCGGGCCCGGCCTGCCCAGGATGCGGCGGCTGCGCTTGCGCGGCCACCTGAGCGCCGGCCTGTCCGTCGGGCTGCGGCGTCTGATGCTGTTGGCTCTGCCAGCCCCACATACCTGGTGAAGCGAAAATTCGATTGTCGTCCATGGATCGTCACGGTAAAGAAGAGAGGGAGGAAACGCGGCGGTAATGCGTCGGGGAACTTACCAGGATTATTAGGCACTGTTGTGACTGCGTGATATTGTTGAGTAGCCGGCGTTCTAGCGCCACTACTGAGCTGCGTGTAGGTTGGCCCGCTCGGTGACCTCGATGGACTTAATTGACTATACTGGTAGCCCTCTGTCACGGGTTGCTGTTGGAACGTAGCAAGATTACGTTATATTCTTTCCGTATGAAACATCCGTTCGAACAACGGAAACGAAGAGTCAGGGTACCTGTCTTCCCATTGCCCACGCTTGCTGCACCGGGGTCGGGGATGTATTAGCCGGCTTTTGAATCCTACTTAGGACCGACGAAGATGCGCTTTGCTGTCCGGGTGAGCCGTAAGCTATCGGCGAGTGCGTCGTCTCGTAGCCCTGGTATACATTCTGTGTACTGGACGGCCTCGGTTGTTGTGGACCTGCGGAAGTACATACGTGCTTAGTGACCATGAAGTATGTAACATGAAGGAAATGTTTCCCGTAACAATCGTCTTACTGGCTGTAGCTACGGTCGCTGGATGCTGTATCATGTGATGCGCAGAATACAATGGATCCCTGGCGGGATGTCTTTGAAGGGAGTAATCTAGGCCAGGTTGTCCATATGCAGGTACCGCTTCGCTCTCAGTTTGACCGTCGCTACTGGGGTGATACCCCGGCCTGGAAGGCCACATAGGTATAAAAATAAGTAAAATTCAAAAAGGCAAATTAATTAAGGACAAGAAAGAGATGCATGTGTTTGCAAAAAAAAAATGCGTATCAGTAGGACACGTGACGAACGATTCTCAGCGTGCAATGTAGCGCAGTGTAGCTTCATTCTTACTTCGTGTGCGTATTGGTGCAAACGATATATTCGATGTCCTCGTTGAACGGATTTAGAAACGCAAACGCCGACGTCCTCAACCACACCCAGTCGCGATTCTTGGCTCGAAATCTGTACATTGCAGATACGACTTGTCCCTTCAATTTCAACACTGAAAAGAGCAGGCGGTCTGTTAACGATACTGATCGATGAAAAATGATCTCGAGAGCGACGAATGATGCGGTGCATTACCTTGTTCAAAGCTTTCTCGCATATGCGCCAGATCCTCCGGATGGAAGAAATCGTAGCATGGGTGACCTAAGAGCTCCGACGGAGTGTAACCCAAAATTCCACCGACTCGTTGGTCCACGAATGTAAATTTACCTTCCGTGGAGTGACGTGATATAAATTCTATAATAAACATAATAATAAAGACAATTTATACGACAGGTATTACGACTCGCTGTATATTGAACGAGTAACGGTCGAATTTCAAGTCGGTCTGAGCTTTACGAGCACAAATTCTTAAGAGAATATACTAAGGTATGTACACTTACCGCTATTGCTATTGGAACCTGTTAAGTCGCTACTATTTGGTGTGCTAGTGACCTGTAATCGCCCAATGGCGACAAGGCAGCAATGCGTGGAGGCATTCTCATCCGTGACCACGCCGTCTGGTCCAGCTTGTACGCCCCCTCTGTCACCTAGACCCACACCTGGTACACATGGGGGAACAAAATCACCTACAGCGTAAAATCATGAATCAGTCCATGATTTCTCGTTGATCGGCTCAGATATCTTACATATTAACATTAAAAAAATATTATTATTAGGGACCTGCAGAAGTTTGTCGGATTTTTAGCTACATTTCTTTTATTAGTGGAATAATAAAACAGCATAACATTATTGCCATGTCAATGGATGTATCTGCTACCACTTCCTGTTATCTTTCGGACAACTGACCGATCCCGTGTCCGCAAAACTACTTATTTCTTGAGTCAATGAAATCACCGACGATCCGACGAACATTCGCAAAGCCACTGATAATATTACGACCGTACATATCGAATCATCGCGGTCCTTATCGGCAACGACATTCCTGTCTGATTTCCTGAACATTTATTGAATTTACCAGATTGACGTTTGTACGTCTATCGATAAATCTTCAAAGAGCCGCGAAGAAGTCGGTTGTGTATCGTCCCTGATGTGTCAGACGCGCGCAGGAAGCGTCCTTCTATCTTTTTAACGTAACCGATAAGATTGAATTAACCGGCGGCTGTCACAAAGCTATCGATGGAACAAAAAGAGAGTTGCGCACGTGATCATGAATATTGAAGGAATATGTTAACAGCCGATAGCTACTACGCCGCGAGTCTTAATGGCGATGACTATCCATTCAGTGGGTAAACAAGTACTTTGAATACGAGGTACTATTTCAATCTGGAGAATATATATAACAGCATGAATAAAAGCATGCAATATATATATATATATATATATATATTCCTTCTTAGATTTGTTGATTTCTCGTTATTGAGATATGTGCATGAATAAAGGTAATCAAATGAGAAGAAGAAACACTTCGTGAGACTAATTCTTCCGAGTCTGCGATAATAATGAGTAAACGCTCAGAGAAGGAATCTAGCTGGCATAGGTGAAATGTATCTTTGGAACAGGGACAGCTAATGTCGTTGCTGCAGCGAAAAAAATTATTAGCTATAAAAATATTTAGTTAGACACAGTAGTGTACTAAGGTCATATTCGCATTCCCGGCTAGAAATTTATTGCGGTTTTTTTTTAAACAAAAACTGTTCTTAACCCATTTGCATCCATAAGCGGAATATTCCGCGAATGACGATCGTCTCCTATCACCGAGCGCGGAATATTCCGCAAGCCGCGACTTTCTTTTATATCGATCATTTAAAAAAATACCATGTTAAATAAACTCTACGAACTATTCGGAAGTCATTTACTGTAGAAGTTAACTGTGTACTGTAGAACGAGTGTACTGTAGAAGTTAACGAAAATAATAAAACTGCCGATATACGGCCACGCGCGGTAATACGGGCCAACCGTCAGTGATTGATCACCGCTGATGACTGAACGCAGAAACTTAAGTCATGATGTCATGATGAAAATGGGTTAAGATGTTAGATGCCGATTTTGTCTGAAACTGAGCTATTTATTTGATTCATTGTTATATCTGAGAACGCTTAAACATCGATGTACTCGGATCCGAGATTCTTGGATCGTGAGTCAATCACCTTAGGTGCTACACCACTTCGTCGATCGATATAAACGTATGTATTGTCTATACAAGGTATAACCGGAGAGAGAAAGGGAGCACAGCTGGCCAATCTTAGCTACTCATGCTAATAATTTCAGTTAACAAGGTTGTAAGTCACAGCACAAATGCACTATACCTCTAGCGAACAACTTTTAGCAATGACAGCAACGTTCGAACTAGCCAATGAGATTTAGCTGCTGTTACTAAGTAAGTGCCCCTAGTGAAGTCACCGCAGAGTAACGCAATAACATCTTCGAAGGCCGTAATTGAAAAGGACGACTATAATTCCGCGACGTCTCGTACACACGTGATATTTTTTAATCCTCTCAATTCTACGAACGTTCGTAACTTCTCTCAGGGCGAGCGACTTTTTCGCCATACACCGGTTGATATCGCGGAAGTGAAGATACTATTAGAGAGATTAGTGTATTTAATTAAAAACGCAAAGGATCGGAAGATTCCAGCAAGACTCGGCAGCCCCCCATTCATCGTCGGCGAATATCGTCGACCTCCGCGTCGCCTGTCGGCTCGGAGGCGGTTCTTAATTTACAGTACACACGTAGCATACGCGTTCCGCCGTGTTCCAGGAACACAGGTTCGTTCGTATTCTTCGGGCGCGACGTCTCCCCCGCTTTAAAATAGAAAGCCGGCGCTGTGCATCGCGCCCGAGAGAGAGAGAGAGAGAAAGCGAGAGAGACCGTTAGCAGTGGTGGTAAGCGTCGTCGGCGTACGTACGCTCGCGCACGGTCGTCTCGCCCCGGACATGGGAACCAGTACCAAACTCACCGGTGGGTGGCCAGTTCTTGATGTAGCCGGTGCAGTGCACCACCGCGTAGTTTTGACCGTCCCGTGCTGGCGGGCCTAACGAGTTCCTCTGCTTCATACGGTGGAGGCCGTGCGCGGCCGCCATGTCCCCCGTCGTCTGAAGATTGCCAACCTTCATGCGGCAGATGAAGCCCCGTCTCGAGCCCATGCACAGTCGCATGGAAGCTGCGATCGGAAAGACATAAAGAGAGACGTGAAGAGAATCCTCGCGTTGGGAACCCTTTCTTCACGAGAACGACTGAGACGGTTCCACTCGGGACTCGGGCGAATCGGAACGGACAAGAGTAAGTGCTCGAAAGGTCCACGGCTGAACAGAGTTCAGAGTACCACCGACGAAGATCCCAAGTGGGATCCCAAGAGTTTTCGCCGGTGTTTCATCGGTACACGGGACAAAATATTTCGCTGGCAAATTTCTCAGTTACCGTGCGGACAGCGAGATTTGTTACACGGACAAAATAATTTTACTCTTCATATATCCAGCAAATGGCAATTAACACTCTTAACGAATTTTTCTGCTGTCCGTATAGTAACTGCAAAATTGGTTATGCCAGCAAAATTTTTTTTTCCGCGTAGTTTAACGCTCTGACTGATTATTGCCTTTATAGCTTCTGTACATGTTTTGTACTTACATTGGCCTTCTTTCTTCACCGTTCCCGTTTTGAGGTCCAACACTCTACCCCCGTGTTGGGGTTCCGCGGCGCTCAACTGTTCTCGCACCTTCTCGGTGTCATCAGGGTGAACTTGAGAGTACAGACTGGTACCATACCAATCGCTTTGAGTATAGTTTAACACTGGTGCGACCGAGTCGGACACGTAGATGATCCTGCCAGTGTCACAACTAACTACGAATAAGAAACCGTCGGCCGCCTCAAGGATCAAATGCTTTAGCTCTTGGTCCGTAAGGAAGGACGGTTTATAAGCGTTGTCCGTTGCGGTATTCCCGGTACCTGCGGCACATTTCATTTCGTTGTGACAACGTTCATCGCGCAGATGAAAATAAGGGGATTTTGTAGAGAATACTCTAGATATGTCTTTTGTAGAGAATAATCTAGATATTCCGATTTATTAAAAGTCACGTATACATATATATGTATATGATCAGTCACAAGAAGATTGCAACACTTTTTTCCGATGAGCTACGCAATGCATCTCGTATCCAATAGGAAAGCATATTTCCTGAGGATGACTGGCACACAATTCTCTCTCAATTCATCTCCTATTGTGGAATTCCGAAATTTATAAAAAAGTGTTGCAACTTTTTTCGACTGATTATACGTATGTATGTAAGTGTGAGGATGTACCGTAAACCCAAAAATTCCAAATTTATCGGCATTTAATTCACAAATTACTCGATCAACACGGAGATTCCATCTAATTGCAGTGACAGATGTTTATCTAACGAAATTATTTTTTTAAACAACACGAATTGCCAATAATTACTAACTTAAAGAAAATAAAAATAACCACTACCAAATACTAAAGCGCGTTCAGAGCATTAATAAGCGGGACACTCGGAGAGCGCCGCGCGGATTTCTAAGCTGTGTCCTGTCCGGGTACTGAAATCGAATAGCGTCCTCCCTCGAATGCAAGGCTGCTCGAAGTCGTTTTCCGAAGTTGACCTCCAGAGACGCGAGGAGCGCTATGGTGTGGTACCAAAAATGAGGACGGGGCACCTCGCCAGCGGAGGTAACTATCGAGGTGCAAGATCGGAATTGCAAAGCGGACGGCGGATCCCGTAGAAAGAGAGGCGAACGAGAGAGAGAAAGAGAGAGAGAGAGAGAGAGAGAAAGAACGGCTCTCGCGCGATGCGATCTTTACCCCGATATACGGAGAAATTCCGGGAAGAGGTACTTTAACGACTTCCAAACAAGATCTATGGAAAGACCCCCGGTGACCTTCGTTACCATTACTTTCCGCATGGTGTACATCTCGCGCTCGGTCGTTACTGAGTCGCGGTTACTTCGACGTCTTCCGAGAGAAGCAAAAGTGCAGTCATCGTTAGCGAGGATCGCCGATGATTATTAGAACCCCCCAATTATCAATGCGATTTCACGACCAAACCCGTTCGCAATTCGGAGAGAGAGAGAGAGAGCGAGAGAGAGAGAGAGAGGGGGAGAACGGTAATTAATAAAACCGAAAAATTCGCTCGCGAAATCGATACACACGCGCACTCTTCGACACATTCTGCGTTTTTAGTATGCAACCCCATGCACGGTGGTCGCTTAATTGCCATTTCTATGCATTCTAACGCACCGCGATCTAACATCGGACAACGGCTTTCATCGACGGTGCATTGACGATTCCCGCCATGGACATCCTCGATGTTGTCCGAGTATCGATACCGGAACTGCCAATTTAACGTCGTATCCAACATTAGATACGGTTAATAACGTCCCCCTCCTCTCCGACATCGAATTTAAACGGCCACGAGGTGACATCGCGCTGCATTGGCGAATGAATTTGATTGGACCTGACAGTGGACAACCAAACGCGTTTCGGTTAAAGGAAACTGTAAGTCTGTCCTTTTTCGCCGAGCTAACGCTTCTAGAACTTAAAAAGAGACAGATATGTACAGTTAAGACTTGATGGAAGAAAGAGGAGAAGAGAAGTAGTACGAGTTAGCGCAGCCAGTCCAGCGAGAAAGAACAGACCTAAAAATCTCCAGTTCTCACGAACCAAATTCGATTATTACAACCAGAAATTCCATTTCTTTCAACCAAAAGACGTTTGGTTATCCGTTGCCAGACGGAACCAACCAAATTCATTTTTCCGTGTGGGTGCACTGCGAGCATAAAATAGCAGCGTTCACGCGACAGAGCAGCAGCGTCGTCGTCTCCTATCGACGTTCGCCGAACGGTTCTTCAGCCTCCTGGCAATTTTTATCGCCGGCATCCGGGGCCGTAAAAATGCGTCGGCGCGGTGACATACGTAGCGCTCGTCGCGACCGCATAATACTCTTCCACATAGCGCACGCACGGGGTGTTCACGCGCGTAAACGAGCGCGTCCGCTTCCATCTCTCTCCTTCTCTTTCTCCCTCTCTCTCCCAGGCAGGTGAGAGAGAGAGAGAGAGAGAGAGATCCTCTGCTCCTCCGAGAGAGAGAGCGATTTGTATGCGACGGCCCACCTCGTCGGGAAAGAGGAGAAGCGGCTATAAACAACGCGACGCACCACCAATACCTAGATGGAATCACGGCAGAAGCTGGCGCACGCATACACGCACAAAATACGCAGCACGCGCGTTCATCGGGGACAGGAGAGGCTCAGGTAATGGAGATAGGTGCCCAGCGGAGCTAAAGGGACAGCCGACGAGACGGGACGGACGCGCAACTCCGCCCATCGTATCCACCGGAAGCATATATCGCGCCTACTGCATTCGATATGACCGCCACCGACTCTCGAAACTCGCCGTGCACGACGGTCGTCCCGGCGCATCCCTCTTCAACATCCCTTTGATCGACCGGCTGGCCGACCGCCCTTCGAATAAACGAATCTCCCCGTTAAACGGTCACACTGACATCCCCTCGTGGGGTTGCACAGGTCTGTCTTTCAACTCGCGGCAACATCGAGTTGCGCTCTTCGAGATAGAGCCAACGGTACGTGCGATTGTTTTATGTCATTTCGAAGTCCTATACATAAATTTATAACACAAGCGCGAATTGTTATCAACTCACCCTCGTATTTTTTCAAAGTTCTCCAAGGTTTTCAGCAGTCGCGAAAATTTTCTCTATTTTTAACGAGACGAGATGAAATCTTTCGAAAGATAAAAGCGATTGTGACTTGATTAAGTTTTTTTCATGCTGTAATTATCGCCTTTTCCTTAACGGAGCACTGATACGTATGTATCCAAGAGATACCAGGTTCTCCAAGTTCAACGTGAACCTTACGTTCTCGCGGAGTGCCGGTCTTGTTTCGTCTTCGATCTAACAAGGAAGTCGGCGTGCGAGTATCCTAAAAGCGCTCGTAAATTCTCGCTTCTGCCGACAGGAATCTAGCCGCGTCGACCGGGGGGGGGGGACTCGGCTCGAGTGTTTTCCGCATAATCGATGGTCGCAGGTACGCAGTAACGACGTATCGCGGGGTGACTCCGGCGGTAATTTAATCGCCTTCGTGTTAAGGCTCCGAGATCTCGCGTTGCGTCCGAGTTATTGCGTCGCTCGTGCCGGATAACTCAAACATCGCTGCAACTTAATCGTCACGTCTCACGTTGAAAACTGCACTGCTTCTTATCGGCTACGTCCGTGGGGGAGTGAACGCTCGGGAGAGGGGGAGGAGAGAGAAAATTTTATTGCATACCCACACATACATATATAGAAAAAAATCCTCTGGAATGAACAATAGTGAACGATGCGAACGAAATATGAGAGGACGCATCCGGTTAAATAAGAATAAATAATGGAATGCGATAAACTGAGAATATGCACGGAAAAAAGAACCCCGTTCCAGCGACAGAATAGAGACCAGACGGAAAACTCGACGACAAAAGTGATATCTCTGTTATCGCGACTGAAAGCATTCGTTTGGATTTCAGCTGCGTTAGAACTCAGTTGAAATAAATAGAAACTTCCTATTTTTCGATTTCTACAACTGAATTTTCGTCTGGTCCCCGGACAATGGAAAGTTCAGTCACACCAACGGAATTGTTTTTTCCGTGTGAAAAGTCCTGACGACATTGTGTAAGGTATGCTATATTAATGGAGCAAGGGGGGGGGGGGGTAAATAATGACGAAGCCTTTTTGGACGGAAAATAATCCCCTCGGATGAAATTTTAACGACTTTAACCGTTTACGATGTACACCGATATGTTAATATCTACTATCGTCGGGAGTGAATCTAAAGGCCGACTAAGTGCCGCGGGTAACTTTGAGAAATATGGGAGAAACGAAACCTACTTAAAAAAAGAGAGAGAGAAAAAAGAAGGAGAGTAGTTTCTCGGCGACACTTGCCAACTTTGTGGCGTATGTGAACCCGAGGTTAAATTCAAGTGGCTTACGACTCTTACGGAACGGCAAGTTATCGACGTTCGAGCTTTCCCCGTCCCTTTTAAAGGCTTTTGTCTCCCTTCTCCCGGCAAATGCGAGAGCGTAACGTATTTCGCCGGATTCGAAACGTCGCTTTTCCGTCGGTCAAAGTAAACCGGTTTCGGAGAGAATCGAGCTCGTCGGCGAGCGGAAATGATTTGCCGATCCGCGGCGGAAGAGAGATCGTCGCAAGGGTCGTGAACGATTCTCCTTGCGAAGGGTCCACTCACCTCTGAGCGCCTTCATGTGTGCCACCGCCATCCGCAGGATAGTGAGTTTGTCGGGTTTCCGGGCCAGTGCAGAACAAGTAGGTACCATGTCGGAGAGCTCGGTGATGTAGGCGGTCATCTTGTTCCGCCGCCGCCGCTCGATCTCGCAATGATTCTCCCTGCAGTAAGTCGCAAGACAAAACCGAGGTAATTGCATAGTTCGAGGAACCCGGTGCGCGGTTTCTACCGCGACGCTAAAAACGGCGCGAACAACAACGGCGCGCACGCCTGTGGAACTCGACGGCGGAACAGCCGAGAGACAGGACGTTTCTTGCGCGTTCTGCGCGAGAGGCGACAGTTCGCGGGGAATAGCGTGAAATAACACTCGCGACACGCTGTTCGCTGTATTTAGCGCTGAAACGCGCGGCTCTTGCGATTTATGTAATCACCGGCTTTTTCCTCTTTCCCCGTCTGTCTTCCTCAACATTTATCCGACAAATTTCACGCTCCTCCACATTCATTTAACGGATAATTCCCTTTGCTTTCTCAGCTCTTCGCATTTATATATTTCAATTACGTTTACTCGTATCTATGCCATTGTACACACACTCTCTCCTCGTTATGCGTGAATTTATTATCGCGCGACAATTAAGGCTTCGCATAAAATATGCGGAGTGGAATTAACTCGGTTACGGGCGTCGCCCATGATCGATTCGGCCGATAAATTCTCGAGTAGTCCACCTAGCCAGGGGAGGATATCGGGGCGAGACCACAATTTGAGGCCTCCCCTGTTATTACGCTACCAGAGGGTAACCGCCACGGATAACGGCCGGGCACGTCCCTTTACTTCGATGGCGAGCTGCGTAATCGTCGGCGCGCAAATCGTAAATTTAATGGCATTTAATTCGCGACAATTTTCCAGGAAACTTCGCGAAGAGAGCCCGCGCGCGGATCCGCACGCAACACGTAAGTCGGATCCGCTTCGATCCTTCGTGATGCGCAAACCGCGGTCAATTCGTTATCGACTCCGCCTCCGTCCCGCGAGGAGACCGTCAATTTCGCGAGGCGAATCGCGAGGGATAATCGCTTTTCTCGCCGTTTCTCCTATATTTCGCTAAAACCGCCCCGCGTCCTCCTCTTCTCACCAGCGGATTATCCCTCCTGCGCGGTGTTACCGGACGAATCGGTAGCGCGAATCGATACGATGGTAAAGCCGAAAGTGACACACGAAGGATACACAGAGCAAACACTTATCGCACTTTATTGCCTCGGGTGTAAGTAATTTGCAACTACATCCTTCCTGATATACGATCGGTATATATCCAGTTAGTGACTACAGAAGTAGCTTCCCGCGCTAAAATTATTATCCCGCTCTGGCACTATTCCGCCGGAATAGCTCTGGCACTGTTGTATCAATCGGCAAGTTCTTTATTGGACCGGATAATTTGATTGCTGTCCATTTCACGGGCTGAATACGCTCCGGTCGTGAATTGGTTAAGGAGAAAGAGAGAGAGGCTAGTTCGCGAAATGATGAAAAAATTTGTTCGTTTCGCGAAATGGGTAGTTTCACGATCAGGCGATCGTCGATATCCTACCCGAATGTGCAGGGGCGGGAGGGGGGTGGGTGGGGAGGTGCGAGATTAAAATTTGATATCGACACGCTGATTGGTTTGCCGCAAACTTTTTTTTCGGTGTCTACTCGCCGCGACTGGGTGGCAGCGATATGAAATATCGAAAAATAAAATTGATCCGTTCGGCGTTGGCACCGCCGGCGGTGGGTCTGTGTGAGACGGGTCGCTCTGTATTACGTTTATATTTCGAAAATTGATTCCCGATCTAATAAATTTCAATTGCGAGCATCCGAAGGCCGCGAAAATCTGTAATTTAATATTCGATCGATGGATACTCAAGCCACCGCTAAATCATGGTTGCAAAATTCGCGACCGCCCTCTTTGACCAATTTGAAGTCGATGCACCGCTGTATTCAGTGATCTTATCATCGAACAATAATAATATCAAAATGCAGGTATACGCGAAGAGAAGATTGTAATAAAAATTACCAGAAAATTTTGTAATGTTGTATCATACCGTAATTATAACCGAAATTGTGATGCGTGTTGTAATCTTTAGTGACGTACTTCATCGTACACATCGCTAGAGATTACAACACACATCACAATTTCATAAATCCGGTATGCTCTAACGTTGTAAAAGTGTGTGGTAATTTTTATTACAATATTTTCTCCATATATGCAGGCGATATTATATATAATGCAATAATTTATAAAATTTCCCGGTAATAAAATAATAGGTTCAGGAAGGAAAAAAGGTGAAATTGCCGAGTCAATGCCAATCGTCCTTCGCGTCTCTTTCTCTTCCTCTCTTTCATTATACGATTCGGTGCAATTTTTTCGCCGGGCCGCGCGGGCGCTCGTTATCATTATTATTATCTCGTCCCGGGGACCAAGGGGATCCGTAACGCTCGACGACGTCGTGGATGGCCCCGGCGCAGAGGCCCGCTATTTAAAAGAGGCCACGGCGCTTAAAGCGCAAGTATAAAGCGGAGTATGCACCGCCGCGGCATGGCGAGCAAGAGAGGAGAACAAGGAGGGAAGAGAGGAGAGGAGGGCGGAGGGATGGAGGAACGCGATCCGTGGAGAGGAGGACGGAGAGAGAACTCCTGGGTCAGAGGTCAGACGCTCCGAAGTTGCCCGCTCGCTCCGTGGGTCCAGCTCCGTGTACCGGAGCATACCGGGTGTCCCGATACTCCCGCACACACGGATGTCCGTGGAAGCGCGAGCGAGCTCTCGTCTGACCCGATCTGACCCGAGGTCGCGATACGATAAATTAACACTCATACTGTGTAATAATCTCTACCGCGCCGCCGTTCCTCCTTATTCCGTGTGCTTTCGAATGGTCGAACTGTAGAAAATCCTTCCTTCTCTCTTTTTTTTCTTTTATTTCTCCGATCGGATGCGGAAATTTCTTTCGTCGTAAAGGTCGTTACCTTTCGTTAGTCGGCGATACTCGGGAGTGCCTCCCCCGACTAACGGATTCTGCGACGTAAAAAGCCGCAGTGTTTTTGTGATTGGCAAGAATGATTATTTAAAGCGTCCGGTGAACCCAGAATGAACCGAGACACCGCATTTACCACGCTATTTGATACACAGGGGTCGTCGGATGCTGCGGCGAGCGACACGCCGTAAAAGTGCCCGACCTCGGGCCGGAGGTCAACGTTAACCCCGTGACACCGGTCGCGTTACTTGAAAAAGAGGATACTAGTTGAAGGTTGAGGTAATAGATCTCTTATCCGCCGTGACTCCGTTTTAAGCGCAAAATGCGCAAGGCGCGAGGAACTTTAATCTCTGTGAGATAAAACGGAACCATCTAACGTCGCAGACACGCGATTTATTTGCCATTCCCGCTAATTAATCAGCAGTGAAAGGCGATGGCGATAGGTGATAGTCACCGAAACGCGCCGGCAATTTGCAGCACAACGAACATCGGTGAATACGGGTATGAGAATACATACGCGGATTGCTCGGCGTGATTGATGCGAATGAAAGAAAAATCCCTTGTCCGTTGAATACAAATTCATTCGACAAAAATACGTCTCGGCAGTTACGTCGATGTCGCTGGAACGTTCGATTTCCAACCGTTCTGACCGTTGAAAAACTTGGGGAAATTTCGAGCTGAACATTTTCGCGTTCGTCCCCGTCATAGTCAAACGTCAGCGTGTCCCGGAGCGTGTTCTATTTTCCTGAAAAAGAGCCGGTCGGGTAGCGTTTGCACACCCTGTACAGGGTTCTCTGTGTCGCGATGATACAGTGTGTCGGTTCAGAAATACACGTGCTACACATCGCATACGGAGAGCGCGCCCCGCGAGGGAGAAAAGTATCGTGACGTACGGCGAAAGGGATACGCGAATCATCGCGAATCGCTCCGCATTTAGGAATACTTACGACGCCGCGAGAGACAGTTTGTTCCCGATATTTTCCGGCGCCGTATTCTCGACGTCGTCGGGTATTTCGACACGCCTTAGCCCCGACGACATTACGTCGGTTATCGACGGCTGGAAGGCTGCGCCGAATCGTCGCCGCACGCCTTGCGTAACGTCTCATAATGGGATTTATAATGCGATTTATAAAGCGATTTATAACGTTCGCTCTCTCTCGCGAGAGTGTCTAACGACACTCCCCTGCCGCATATCCGACATTCCCCGGGGCTCGTACGCATGAATTTATAGACCGACCAAGTTGTACACAGATCGCCGTTACTCAATCGCACAATTTAACGTTACGATTCGCTCCTCGTGAGCGTACGCGGCATGCATGCGGCCCCTTATTGTGCGCCGCATCGATGTGCATGAAATTAAAGATCGGGTAAATGATGCTTCTGCCGCGTTACAACCGTATAAAAGTGACGGAGGAATGTGAGAGTAATAAACGGACGTGAGCGGATCCGCGCGCGCATCGGTATTGTCTTGATTGCTGAAACGAACAGAGGACAGAGGGAAAGAGAGGGAGGCGAGTACCAACGTTACATCACGTCGATGTAACTTAACTACGATTGTATTAACTGCGATCGAGAGTAAACTTGAACAACTTCCGATATTTCGCGCTTGCATTTTATAATAATAATAATTTTTATTCGCGAAAAGATTCATCACGTGTACAGGTAAATTTTAGAAAGAGATCATAGATGACAGAGATACAAATCAAATCAAATTCAATTTCTTTCCGTGAAAGATATTTGAGAACACATTCCGTTTTACGCGCTGTGCGCCACGCGAGAAGCAAGAAACGTCAAATAAATTTCAATCACAGCAGTTGCGTGTGAGATCTTTTCACGTGCAATTGAAAAATCAGCAGACTGCATTCGCGACAATCCCCGTCGGGGGATCCTAAGGTTGATTTTCCCGTGCGCTTACCGCTCGCGTTACCGCGACTTATTACGCCGGAGAAGAAGTCTTTTAATTAATTGGCCTATGAGAACAATCTGCGCGACGATCTGCGTCATGCGCTCACCGGCGAGGCACCGTCGGCTTTCCTTATACGACGTTTAAGGCACGTGCTTTTCACTTCGGTGAGAGATAATCTCTTCCCTCCCCCGTTTAGGGCCTTACGGTGACTCCGAGTTGCGCGAGTAACATCCTACCGCAAACTTTTGCCAACTGCGAAGGCTCACCATCATGATCGTTTGCCACGTCCGATTACCGCTCCACGGAAGACTCTCCGGCTGCTTTCTCTCTCTCTCTCTCTCCCTCTCTCTCTCTCTCTCTCTCGATTTCTTCGAAGTACATTTGAAGATTTCGACAGAGATTACTTCCGAAGGGAAGTTGCTCAAGCGAGCTGTTTAAGCGGAATTAACATTCCTCGATCATAGGTTTACTTCCGTGATAACGGCCGAACGAAATGAATACATCCGCTTCTGATACGAATATATTAAATTAAGTATTCGATACGCGTCAATATTCCGTATCTTTGCAAAAAGTAATTTGAAAAATATTTCGTGTATAAATCAGCTTGCGAGATGTTAAAAGCGACATTTGTTCGAAAATGTCGCTACCGAGGATTTTCTAGAACGTCGAAGAGCCTCGATTGCAAACACGTGACACAGAAAGTAAAAAGGAACTATGGAGAAGCTGTCGGGGAAGGGTTGTGACAACGCGGTGCCGCAATAAATCCGGCTACGGTCGTCGTTTATAACGCGTGTGTCCGGCGAACGTTGCGCTTTTGCGATTACTCGTTCGCGGTAGTAAATACGTTGCGCGGAAATTTATGGGCCGGCGCGCTGCCGTTTCACGCGCGATTATAACGTCTTCGTTTGGGGATGATTTAAGCAACGCCCGACGAGTCGCTCGACGACGTCCATCGCGAACGCGCCGTTAACGTCCGCCTCGTGCCTGGCGCGAAACGCGAGAGAGCAAATTGGAGTGAAGACTAGCACGCGATTTCACAAATTTGTTGCTCACGTCATTAATTAACGATGAATACGAAATAGAGTAAAAGTCTCGTTTCATCCGAGGTTCATTTTACACGGTTCCCTCTCTCTCCCTTTTCTCGTCTTTCGCCAATTAAGCGCAAATTTAACGGGAAGAATACAGCCCAAATAAAAAGTTGATGCGTCATATCGACGAAACTAATTGCGAGGGGTGACGTTCAAAGTCCCTCGGCGAAGGGTCGACCAGCGTTACAGCAAGGGGGATGAAGAGAGCGACGAAGCGCGAGGCGGGGAGATGGGCGCTCCCCTCTCGGACGACCGCGAGCATGCGACGAGAGCGACGACAACATTATTTCGTGGTTATCGCGGCGCCAAAAGTGCCTGTATTAATGCCGAGAAAATGCGAGATACGGGGGTTGGGGCGACGGCGAGGTGAGAGGCGGGAAAGAGGAAAACGAGAAGAGAAAGAACGGACGGCCGAGAGTTGCGCGTCTTGCGGCAGGAGGCAGTAATTGCGTTATTAACTTAAAAGTGAGGTTCTCGAGAGAGAACCGGGGGCGAGAAAGGGAGAGAAACAACGACAAGAAAGGTGGAGCGAGAAAGAGAGAGGGGGAAGAGAGAAGGAAAGAGGGAAAGAGTGAGAGAACGCGCGACATCAGAATGTTGCCAGTCGGTCTTCGCCGCGTATTTTTTCGCGGCACCGTATATATACCTGCGAGACGACAGCGCGGACACGGAATTGCAGGTGAACCACTACGGCGGATCCACCCGGCGGCACGCGATGAGAGACCACGGATAAGATGTCGTTATTGCTATTACGGCGGATCAACAGTCAGTCTTCGGATTGGTCGGCGTTAAAAAGTAACAGGGTAACCCTTCTCTTTCTCTCTCTCTCTCTCTTTCGCTCTCTCCGGGGAAATGCAATCGATTTAACCGAGACGAGAGTTCCTGCGCTCGAATCACGTGGCTACCAGGGAGTAATCGAAATTCGGCGGCGTTGTCAACAAGACAATGTGGAACGATTGCGGGCGAAAGCGCGTTAAGAGACATGTGACGTGTGTCGTTCTTCAACGGCGTAAAAAATCCTGTGTCTTTATTTGGCGTAGAGCGAGGGAATATAATTGCGCGAAGTCGCGCTCGTCTTTCGTACATTACCTATGACCGGCTTTGCACCATGATTACATCAGGTAGAGGAAAGCACCGTAGGCCCAGGCTTAATAGAGACGTAACGCCATACACAGTCACGTTACACAAAGCACTGGGGCTGAGTCACGACCGATCAGCGTTACACGCGGTAGGCTCAGCCTCTAAAGCATTTTTTGTTCCCCGTCTATTGATAAGTCAATCAATCGACACCGATCGTCCCTGGCCGATCCTTCTCGAGAATACGGAGCGACGAGAGGTTCGTTTCAGTTTCCTAATTAGCGAAGAGTAACGAGCACCGTGAGTGATATTTACGCGAACTCCAACCACTTTCGTGGAGAACTGAGTATCTTCAACCCGAATTAATTTCGGTTCTTTCGTTTCCCGGCGTTACACATAATTCTGCGGTGAAATCCAGCGGGTTTTCGCTACGAAAAAAAAAAAAAGTTGGGGAAAAACTCGCGAGTCGAAGGAAGCGCTCGCGAATTTTTCGGAAACACGTCCGGTGTATTCCAGTGTAATTTTACCGGCGGCGGACACACACACACACACACACACACACACGAAGGTACAGATTTCTCCGAGGATTTTGACGTAGATTTTTATTCGCGCCGTCGTGGAAGTCGCCATATTTTACATGTATGTTATGCATCTCACGTTGTACATTATTTTCCGGCTTTTGTCCGGCGAATTTAATGCCGTGGCAGCCGAAATATCTCGGAAGGGAATCAAAGTACCTTGTGTCTTTCGTTGTACGCGGACTTGAAGGACGCTACGGTGCGCGTATAAGTACCTTATGTTCCCACGCTGGAGCAGCCTCGAGGGCTTCCCATTCCGCTATCGGCTCCTCACATTGCCCGGTATCATGTAGGTATGTATGTACCTTCGTACTCTTGAGAAGGGGCATGTACAGGGTGTACCGGTGAAACATATTGGACCGCGGTTTCGTGAGGCGAATTAACAACGTCGGGGAAAGACGTCGGCCGAAAAGGCAAGGAACAGAGAGAATGAAAGAGAGAGAGAATGAAAGAAAGAGAGAGAGAGAGAGAGAGAGGTGTCCACGTGTCGCTTCAGGAAGGTAACTTTTTGCGAATTCTTAACCGTCGTAATCGGAGCATCGTGGTCTACCACGGAATACGTCGTTTTTTCGGAAACGCTGGCATTGTCAACTCAAGCCTGAAACTCACCTTGCAAACCTTTCTTTATCCTGCACATTGTCGTCATCTAGTCTTCTGTATTTACAACCACTCGGATCATCCTCATCGGATCTGCAAAATAAATCAGAGATAACGATTAATCCCGAGTAATCTTCATTCGCCGGGCTCAGAATGTTCGTAACGAATGAACATTAAAGTGAAAGGAAAGAATTATTTCTATCAGTAACGATCTCTCAAGTAGCCGCAGATCGCCGAGTTCGCCGGCCGAAAGGAACAAATAATAGAAATTCCGCGAGCGTCGCGTCACCGATACGTAAAGTGTAATCGTTTCCGGACTACCAAACGTGACCGTACGATCCAAAATTGGTCACCGCAGGGTCGTCGTCGTCGGCTTCCCCCTCTCCTCCTCCTCAAATCTAGAGCGCCGTAACAGTAAATAAGTGAATACGAAATACGAGAGAGAAAGAGAGTCTCTCATACGTGATATTCACGCTCTCGTCGCGCGCTGTTCATTCATTTCAACGCTGGCGAACTTTTTCATTCAAGCCACCCGCACCCCCCGTCGCGAGTTTCGCGACAATAAAACATACAGTTTGCTCCTTACGGATAATTAGTTATCCGCCTTTAATCCCGGAGCGAGCCCAATTGAGACACGCGACATTGCCGCGTCGACATCAATTGGTCCTACCGAATTCGCGACGGAAGCTCGCGATCAAACGAGCGGAGTGTGAGTCGCGCGGAGAAAGGAGAAAGGGATGGGCACCGTAAATCCGTCACCCTATCGTTTCATTACCGGCGTAGGAGAGCGCGTGTATCATTTACCGCGCGGCATCAAGTGCGATAGAAAATTATGCTCTCATTGGGGGAGCGCAAACACACTCGCGCAGAAATCCGGCCGATCGTCAGTCTGTATTGCACGGCACGCGGCTGATGTACGATTCTGACCCTGAGCGAAAAAGCAAGACCCCCTTACTTACCACCGGTGCCCCTCCCGCCTCGTCTTATCCCTCCCAACCCCTCTCGTCCCTCTCCGGAGTTTGTCCGTTCGTTCGTTCGTTCGTTCGCGCGGTGAACGTCGCGTTCGAGAGACGGTGTACAGCCTCTCTTCTGCCTCCCACCTTTCCCTCCGAGCCCCTATGTGAGGCCCATAGGACCCGATGGAGGTGGGGGTGGTGTAGGGCCCAGCAGCGAGTGTATCCGGGTATATCGCGAGGGGAGCGCCCTCTTCTCCTCTCGTCCTTCTCTTCGTCGTCTTCCTGCGCGGGAACCTTCTCGGCTCCCTTCGTCCCCACGTTCTCCGCGTTCCTTTTTTCTTGCTCCTCTTCCTTTTCGCGAGAGCGAGAGGGGCCCGGAGAGAGAGAAAGAGCGAAGAGAGGAGAAGGGAGAGAAGAGGGGCTCGTGGGAGAGAGGGGGCAACCGTGGAGACTTATGGAGTACATAATGATGCGCCCCGCGGTATTACGTCGACTTAACGGACGCGTATGCGTGCTTCGCAAGCGATGAAGTCGACGACGTCGGGAAGGAGTCTTCTTGGCGGGCGGGAAAAGACTCGGGCACGCTGAAATTTCGACAGAGGAAACGCACACGCGCGTGCGCGCGCGCAACGTTCGAGAGAACGTCGAGGAAGTATCTGAATAATTAATATCGTCCGGACGCGGTGTTAATTTTGCACGATGGAGAACTGCAAAGAATGAGAACTTGATTGTCGATGGGAGCCCGACGACGAAATGCGCGACGGCCTTGGAGTTTTGCTCCGAGATGGGGAAATAAAAATAGAAAAGGAAGAAATGAGTTAATATTATATTGATATAGTTCGGTGTGACAAGTGATGGAATTTCCATTAAATTAATAATGATTATTGTTTCGCGTATAAGACAAGTATACACAGGAAAAAAAATAGTTTTAAATCAATGGTAGGTATTCTCATATATAAACGAGATTCTAATATTCTTAGAAGATTTTTAGTCTTGAACTGAGTGCAGGTAATACTTGTATCAATGCAAAGTCAATCAAATCGAGGCTAAAAATCTTCTAAGAAGATTACAATATTCTTACTTATATGTGAAAATATCTACTTTTGATTTAGGATTACTTTTTTTCTCTGTAAGACGCCTACAAAATTCTAATCTAATCTGATTCAATGCGTGAAATCAAATTTTTAACGCGTACCACGTCGTGTGGGCACGCGACCAAAGTCACCTTCGTGTGAAGATGAAGATGTAAATTTCGACTTTTGCCTTTTTGGATCGCAGGAAACGTCCGGGATGCGTTGTCGACGTAGGTCAACGATAAAGTGAAAATTATGGGAGAAAAAGACAGCCAAAGGTGAGAGAGAGATAGATTGTGACAGGGAGATGTATGAAGCGCATAATGATGCGCAGCGCGGTATTACGTCGGTTTAATAGGCGTTTCGCAAATAGAAACCTCGCGCGGTAAGCTTAGTGGCTCTATTCGCTCCTCGAGATTTATTTACGGCGAATTCGCAACGCAGCCTTTCGATACCTAAGCAATACCTGTAGTGAACATTACTGGTGCGTACCCTGCGACACAAAAAAGCGGAAAAAGACATGACCCGCGAAAGTTTGCTCGAACGGAAAGTAACATCGATTCTTCGGAACGATTTGCTCGGATCACAATCGAGATTGCGTCAATCTCTTATTTAACCTTTGAGCAATGGTACCACCATGTCCTGGTTATTAAATTGTCAGATATTAAGTCCGTAATATACGGCCTATAATATATTTGACGTATATTTCTAAGTATCAATACTTTTTTATTGAGTTTAGCTTTATAAATTCTGAATAGGCGGAATAATGCAAGTATTAATTTCTAATTAAATGTCATGTTCAGCATATTCTACGATCGCGTTACTCCGGCCGGGTATTAGTGGCTGTTTTCCATTAATTCGAAAATTCCAGGATTAACACTAAACCTACCATGCGCGGTCAAATGACCGTTTTTGAAATTTCGTTTAGAATTTCTCGTATACAACGTTACTTTATTACCATGTAGCTTATTGACATTTCCTATAATATACATACAACCCATTTTTCAATATTCACAACTTTCTTTATTGTTTACTTTCCGAAAAAAATTTATAGCATGTCTAGTCTACCACGAACGGTCATTTGACCATTTGAAAAATTCATGTTATTTACGACTATATTCTTTGGAAAGCGCGATTGGAACAAATGCATAGCGCGATTGGAACAAATGCATAGCGTTATTTGTACGACAGTACGGTCTTGCGATCCGAACAGAGAGCATCAAAATTTCACAGTGTATAATAGAAATTATTATGTGGTATAAGTGATAGTTTCGACAAAGTCAACAGAGCCAACAATATTTTGTGGTATGATTTACAATTGTTTTTTTTTTATTTCTGGTCTCAATGTTTTTGCCCCGTTTGATTTATATTTTTATATTTTAGTTTTTACTTTATCATTTGTATATTCATCCCCAAAAATATCAATTTATTAGACAAAATAAATAATATCGACGAGGATTGTTCGGAAGATGACCAAGAAGTTTCCGATATTGATAATGATACAGCAGAAAATAATTGTGACTTATTTGACAGCGATACGGACGAAGAGAATATTTTGAATATACGAAGAAGACAAAAAAGAAAGAGATTTATAGTTAGTTCCGAAAGTAAAAATGAGGAAGAGATTGAAACTGCTATGGACGGAACTGTTTGGCAAAAAATAAAAGAAGGGTCTAATCGCGGAAGAGCACCGATTTATAATATTTTCAAGGAAATATCAGGACCGACAGGATACGCTAAACGAAATATTATAAAGGGCAGAGTTGAGTCAGCATTTTCCTTGATTATTGATCATAACATGATTGAACATGTAAGAAAATATATGGAATTAGAGGCATTTCGAGTGTTGAAAACGAAATGTAATTTATCTATTGCAAAATTATATGCATTTATTGGACTTCTATATGCACGCGGCGCATATGAGGCTAAAAATATGGATGTATCATATTTATGGAACACGAAATGGGGTCCGTCATTTTTCTCGACAACTATGAGCCGAAATGACTTCACAGAAATCATGAGATTTATTCGGTTTGACAACAAAAATCAACGAAGCCAACGCTTACAAAACGATAAGTTCGCTTTGATCTCTGAAGTTTGGTACAAATTTATCGAAAACAGTCAAAACTGTTATAAACCAGGAGCATATCTTGCTATAGATGAACAATTGTTTCCTACAAAAGCACGTTGTAGATTTACTCAATACATGCCCAACAAACCGGACAAATTTGGCATAAAATTCTGGTTAGCTTCCGATGTAAGTAGTAAGTATATATAGTAAACGGCTTTCCATATTTGGGAAAAGATGAAGGGAGAGAATCATCGGTCCCATTTGGGGAGTTTGTAACTTTGAAATTAGCAGAACCATATACGGGCCATGGGAGAAATATAACAGCTGACAATTTTTCTACAAGCGCGTCATTAGCGAGTAAACTTCTGGAAAAAAAACTACGCTTGTTGGAACTATCCGCAGAAATAAAAGAGAGTTACCAAAATTAGCGAGATAGGCAAAGGATAGTATGACACGCTTCTCAACAATATTATACAAATCGAATGATTTTATTCTTTCAATTTATAAAGCTAAACCCAATAAAAAAGTATTGATACTTAGTTCAATGCATTCATCCGTTGAAATTGAAAAAAGTGACACCCGTTTACCAGAGACAATTAGATTTTACAATAGCACAAAATTCGGTGTAGATGTAACCGATCAAATGGCCAGAAAATATAGTATAAAATCTAAATGTCAAAGATGGCCTTTATAGGTATTTTTCAATATCTTAGATTTAGCCGGGATAAATGCTTGGATTTTATATAAAGAAACGACGGGTGAAGAAATATAGAGGCAAGAATTTTTATTTCAATTGGCAGAAGAGCTTGAGACCGAATATCAGAAGGAGAGACAGCTAAGCAAAGAATGTTCATCAAAAACAATAATAAACACAGCTACAGATTCTTCTGGACGGAAATCTTATCAAATAAGATATTGTAAAGTCAATAAGACTAACAAAATTTGTATAAAATATAAAAAATACGTATGTGGAAAATGTGCAATACAAAATGC